AACTGAGCTCAGAACTCAGAGCAGCTGCAGGCTGGCTCCATAAAGTGGCTCCCATTGTCAAGGTGAGACACAACCAAGTTCAAGTTGGCAGGAGGTTAAGGAGCCACAAAGTTCAAGCTGGCAGGGATCCAAGTTCAAGCCTGTAGGAGGCACACAGAGCATTGCAGGCTGAACAAAATGAGTTCTCGCCTCACAGCCAGAAATCAGCCTGAACTTCAGTAGAGCTAAAGGTGCCGGATTGCTGGAAATATCCACAACCCTGCCATAGAGCTACAGCTGGCTTGCTGGGATTAATCAACATGGATCTGGCCTCTGTCTGCCCACTCTGTCTACCAGTGACAGCAGAGACACACCCTGAAGTGGATACTTTTTTCTTCTTTTCTTTTCTGTTTTTCTTGATTGTTTCTTCTTGTTTTATATTAGTGTGAACATTATTTCTAGTTTTTTCCTGTCCTTGCTTTTATTTCTTTCTTCTCTCTTTTCCTCCCATCTTCTTTACCAGTTTCCCAAAGCTCACACAATCTTCCTTTGTCCTTTAGCCTTTCTTCTAATCTCTTCCTCTTCTTCTATTTCTCTATTTGTTTCCCTCTCATCCCTTTTAAATTTTCTCCCCTGAGGGTCTCCCCTGAGGGTAAAATCACCATATCGAGGGCATATTTACTGTATACAATTTCCTGGTTTGTTTTAGATTTTGTTATATAACCACAAATATAGTTCATAGGGTTAAAGCTGGCAAATTGATGGTTACTACACTTTGTCATATTCTAGGCTGTGTTCGATGCTATTGTTATTTCTGATTGTGCTACTTTAGCCAAGGTGGCATAATTGTTCTAATCAGTTGTTCTTCCTAGTATGCCAAGACAGAGATTACCTAAGGGTCATAAACAATACTATAGGCTAGTACCAAAGAACCAGAGGCCAGACCAAATAGACAGCAACTTCTCATCCCCAATAAGTTGAAGAGGTAGGATGTTGCAACAGACTCAAAACCTAAAAGCCAGATACACCTGGAAGATATCTCTGAGAAGTAGTTATTTGCTAAGGGTTCCAAACATTAGCACTACAGCTACCTGCCATGAGCAATTTATAAGCATTAACCCAGGAATTAAACTAAAAAACAGAAAGAAAAGACAATGAGAATACACTTAAGCAAGATGCAACTCAAGACTTCCAGTGCACCAAAAGCAAATCCAGGGGGCAATGAGATGGAACAATTTGAAAGCCAACCCCCTGGACTCTCTAATGTGGTTATAGCAGAAGTAACAAAGCAGAGGAATGAGGCTCTAGAAAAAAATCAAATCAGAAATAATCTCTCAAATAACTACAGAGATGGTGACCATAATGTAAGACATGGTTAGTGACTCTAGAGCAGATACAGATTAAAAAAAAAAAAAAAAAAGAGGCACTTAGGAAAATGATGAAAACTGGAATGCTCAACATAGGAAAGAAATGGAATCCATTAATCAGATTCAAACAGATATCCAGATATTAAAAATCTCATTGAAAGTATACACAGCAGAATGAACCAATGTGAGGCCAGAATATCAGATATAGAAGATAGGATTGTGGTTAGTGATCATGAAAAGAAAGATTTCTTAAAAATAGCAAGAGACTATGATAAATCACTCCAACATCTGCTAGATGATGCGAAGAAGAATAACATAAGATTGATAAGAGTCAATAAAAAAGCAGGAGATAGAGCAAATGATATTAAAAAAACCTGTTCACAGAAGTAATGGCAGAAAACTTCCTAAGCATGGAAAAAGATTTGACATACAGATAAGTGAGGCACATAGAACTCCAATTAACCATGATAAAAAAATCTGGACAGGTATGGTGGCCCAGGCTTATAATCCCAACACCTGGGAAGCTGAGGCAGGAGAATTGCCACAAGTTTGAGGCCAGCCTGAGATACATAATGAGTTCAAGCCTAGCCTGGGCTACATAGCAAGACCCTGTCTCAAAAATAAACAAACAAAAAATCACACTAAGGCATATAATAATCAAGCTTCCTGAAATTCAACACAAGAACAGAATATTAAAAGGTGTTAGAGAAAAGAAACAAATCACCTATAAAGGAAAGTCCATCAGAATCACAGGAGACTTCTCAACACAAATGCTCAAGTCAAGGACAGCTTAGAGTGAAGTATTTCAAGCACTAAAAGAAAACAACCTTCAACCCATATTGATGTACTCTGCAGAGCTATCTTTCAGAATTGATGGAGAAATAAGATACTTCCATGACAAACAACACCTGAAGAAATTCATGACCACAAAACCAGCACTCCAAAAGGTTCTGAAGGACATTCTAGAAACAGATAATGAGGACTACAATTCCATGAACCCCACCAAAATGAATCCACTGGCAAGGCAAGTAAGTAAACAGAGGGGAAAAATGAAGGGAACCAACAACAGGAAAATAATGATGAGGACAAGTCAATACATATTAGTTATAACCATCAATGTAAATGGTCTCAATTCACCAATTAGAAGAAACAGGCTTGCAGAACAGATCAAGAAGCAAGATCCAACAATATGCTGCACACAAGAAACACATTTAATTCAAAAAGAAATTCATAGACTGAAAGTCAAAGGATGGAAAATGATACTCCATGCGACAGGAAACAGGAGAAAAGCAGAACTACCTATTCTATTTGCAGACAAAGACAAAGTGGCTTTCAAGCCAAGACTGGTTAAGAGAGACAAAGAAGGTCAAACAAACAAAAAAATACCAATGTGACACTAGCTACAAAAACACATTTAATCCAAAAAGAAATTCATGGATGAAAAACAATATTCCTTGCACTAGAAGCCCCAAATCAAGTTGGAATAGCTACCCTACTTTCAGACAAAGTGAACTTTCAGCCAAAGCTATTCAAAAGAGAAAAAGAAGGACACTACATATTGGTTAAGGGAACAATTCAATAGGAAGAGATAACAATTATAAATATACACACACTGAACACCAGTACACTCAACTTCATAAAACAAATACTACTGAACATAAAAGATCAGATAAATGTCAACACATTTATAGTGGGGGAGCACAATACCCCACTATTTCAAATTGACTGATCAATTAGACAAAAAAAATCTATAAAGAAATATCAGTGTTAAGCCAGGCGTGATGGCACATGTTTGTAATCCCAGAACTTAGGAGGCTGAGGCAGGAAGATCGCCGTGAGTTTGAGGCCAGCCTGAACTACATAGCCAGAGTCTGTCTTAAAAAAAATTATTAAAGTTGAATCATACCTTCAGACAAATGAACTTAATAAATAACTATACATTGTTCTACTCAAGAACAACAAAATACACATTCTTCTCGGCAGCACATGGAATTTTCTCTGAAATAGACTACATATCAGCCCATCAAGTATGCTTAAATAAATTCAAAAGAAATGAAATTATCCCATGCATATTATCAGATCATAGTGCCAAGAAACTAGAAATAAATGGTAAAAGCAACCACAAATATTATGCAAATACATTAGGTGGAGAAAAATTTAAAGCTTTTCCTCTAAAGTGAAGAACCAGACAAGGATGTCCACTATCACCACTCCTTTTCAATATTATACTTGAAACTTTAACCAAAGCAATCAGGCAAGTGAAAGAAAAGAAATACATATAAGAAAGGAAGAAGTCTAACTATCCTTATCCACAGATGACATGACCCTCTACATAGAACCAAATATGCCACCAAAAGACTCCCAGAACTAGTAAACAAATTCAGCAAGGAAGCAGGATACAAACAACACACAAAAATAAATAGTGGAGGGGCCGGGGGTCTAGCTCAGCGATTCCACCGCCTGTCTCGCAAGAGCAAGGCCCTTGAGAAAATAGCTAAGTAGGACTTCTTCAAAATTAAAAATTTTGAGCTAGACAAGGTGGCTCATGCATGTAATACCCTCTGTGTGGGAAGCTGAGGCAGGAGGATCACAAATCCAGCCCAGCCTGGGTAAGTTTACTGAGACCCTGTCTCAAAATAAAAAATGAAAATGGTCTGAGGCTATACCTCAGTGGTAGGCCATGCCTGAGTTCAATCCCTGTACTGCATAAATAAGTAAAAGCTTTTGTGTTTCAAAGAATACCATCCAGAAAGTGAAAGGCAACCCACAGAATGGGAGAAAACATTTGCAAATTGCAAATCTGTGTCCATGGGGCCCGTTGTCTAGAAAATGTAGAGAACTATTTCAGCTCAGTGAAAAGGCAAACGATCCAGTGTAACAATGATAAAGGCTCTGAATAGACATTTCCCAGAGGAGGTACAAATGGCCTACAGGCAGAGGAGATGTTCACAGCGTTAGCTCTCAGGGAGGAGCCAGGGAAACTGCCAAGTGCCGCTCTACACCTCCCCACGGAGACCACAAAAACCCCACACGGACATTGGCAGCACGGGAGGACTGTGGAGACGGAGACTGAGGATGAGGCGCGAAACGGAGCACTGCTTGGGGAGCACCTAGTGATTGCTCTCAAGTGTTACACACAGAGCGACCACAAAGCCCAGCAAATCCATCCGTGGGTGCACAGTCCTGGAGGAGAATTAAAGACACACTTACGCATGAGCACTGCACATGGGTGCTCATAGCAGTGTCATTCCTACGGCCAAACCAGGGGGATCAACCCAGACGTGCATCAGTGGATGGGCGAATGCCAACCAAAAGCAGCGTTATCTGTTCAAAGGAACATTATTCAGCAATAAAAGGAATAAATGCAGATACACTGCAACCTGGACACACCATGCAATCATCGTGCTCAGTGAAAGAAGCCAGGCCAAGAAAGACAAATATTGTGTAATGCCACTTACATGAAGTCTTGAGCAGCTAATGCCATAAAGAGGGGAGGAGATTAGAGGTTGCTTAGGGGTGGGGCAGGGGTGGAAGGATAGGACGGCTGCTCCAGGGAGTGGGGTTTCTTTCTGAGGAGTTACGGCTGACCTAGCACTGACCACTGTGCAGGCTGCACAGCGTATCTGCTGCAAACCACTGAACTGAACACTGAAGGACTGAGCCGCGTGTATGTGAATTACAGCTCGAGGACGCTGTTAACAGGAGAAGAGCAAGGAAGTCTAGCGGTCTAGGACTGTTGGTAAGTTGGTGAGCCTGCAACAAACAGGACTAAACCGAACATGAATCTTCACCCTCAAGCTCTCGTGCTTTTCCTGCCCGGCCCACCCCACGCTCCTCGCCCAGGCCAGGCACTGGCTGCTTGCCACAGGTGGAGGCTCAGGTGGGCTCCTCTGGCCTCAAGGTCTCTTCACAGTTGCCTGCAGCCTCGTAGGGCAGAGAAAGCCCATCACTTAGCATTCATTCTGTGGATAGCAGAGAAATTCAGAATGATTATGGCTTAAACGAGACAGAAGTCATCTCTCTTGCAAAACAGAGAACGCTAAAGATAGGGAGCTTGGGGCTGGGGCTGCAGTTCCCAGGGCTGTGGGGACCCAGGCTGGCTAGGTCCCTCCGTGGCGTCCTGCCCGTGGGTCCAGCCAGGGGCCACTGCGCAGAGCGACACAGCTGCTGAAGGGCTTGAAGAAGGGGCAGTGCGGCGGAGGGAGCTGGCTGCACGCATGGTCCAGAGAGGGATTCTGAAGGGTGGAGAGAGTGGAGGCGAGTGAATCGGTCCAAGTCGGAGAGGAAAACCTGAGCGGGCCGGGCTGGGAGGCGGCACCAAGGAGTCCAGCCTGCTGGCCCTGCAGAGAGCAGAGGGCGTTTACGGCACGTGCCACCCACGTCTGTCCTTCCTTCTGTCCACCTTTGTATTTTTGAACCATTTCAAAGAAAGCTGCTTATATCAGTGCATTTTACCCCCTAAACACTTTAGGATATGTATGAGTAACTGGAGTTCCATGTCTATTTATCTTTTGTGTTGGTTTTGGGGAATCAAACTCAGGACCTCATGCATGGTAGGCAAGTGCTCTTCCCCGAGCCCTGGCCCAGGCCCATCTATTTATCTTTCTTAAGGTAGAATTTATATGCAGGAAATGCATAGATGTTATTTATAGATTAGGCAAGTTTTGGCAAGGTCTGTACCTATGTAGCTCAAATCACTGTCAAGACATAGAACATTAGCATCTCCCTAGAAAGTTCGCTCACGAAACTTCCAAGTTACCCTATTTTTTGTGTGTTTTGCTTTGTTGTTCAAGACAGGGTCTTGCTTTGTAGTTCAGGTTGGCCTTGAACTCACTGTGTGGCCCAGATTGGCCTTGAACTCATGGAGATCCTCCTGCCTCTGCTTCGCAGGTGCTGGGATGACAGGTGTGCTCTGCCAAGCTTGGGCTAGTCTGATTTCTTCCCCCGTGGGTTAGTTTTACCTGCTTCAGGACTTCATGCGAATGGAATCGTGTTGTGTTTTGTGTCTGACTTCTTCCACTCAACATAATGGGAGATTTGTTCTTGTTGTTGTGTGTATTGGTAGCTACTCCAACTTAATTGCTGAGTAATATTCCATTGTACGACTCGTTTAGAAGAGCTATTCATTCTTCTGTAGACAGTCACTGGGACTTTTTCTAATTTCTAGTGATAGTGAATAAAGCAACTATGAGCTTTCTTTTAATGAGTCTTTTTGTGAACCTATGCTTTCCCTTCCCTTAGGTAAATCCCTAGAAGTGGACTTGCTGGGATGGGTTTAGTTTCATAAGAAACCAACAGATCTTTACCCAGTGGCTGTACCATTTTACATTCTTACCAACAGTGTGTGAAATTTCCAATTGCTCCACATCCTTGCCAGCATTTGGTGTGATCAGTTTTTAATTTTAACTATTCTGGTGGGTGTAGTTTATGTCTCACGGCAATTTACTTTATATTTCCCTGAGGAGTAATGACGCTGAGGACTTTTTCATAGGATTCTTGGCCATCTGTCTAAGTTCCTATTCAAATATTTTTCCTGTTTTAAGAATTGAGTTTTTTATCTTTTTATTATTGACTCGTAGTGGTTCTTCATATATTCTGAATACTAGTCCTTTATAAGATATGTTTTTGCAAACTTTTTCTTTCAGACTAAAGCCTGTCTACGGTTTTTGTTTTTTTTTTTGGTGCCGGAGATCGAACTTGGGACCTTGCACTTGTGAGGCAGGTGGCGGAACCACTGAGCTAAATCCCCAGCCCTAAAATAAATTTTTATGATACCACGAGTGGTGCCTCATGCTTATACACCCAACATCTGGGAAGGCTGAGACAGAGGACTGCAAGTTTGGGCCCAGCCTGGGAAAATTAATGACTTAGCAAAACGCTCTCTCAAAATAAAAAATAAAATAACAAATTTTAAAGGGATGTAGCTCAGTGTGAGGGCCCTGGGTTCCAGCTCCAGTAATACGCGCGCGCGCGCGCACACACACACATACACACACACACACACACATGGAGCAAGGAATTCTGGGACTGTAGGTAAGTAACAGAATGCCCCTGAGTTTAATTCTCCGTATGGCATAGCTAGCTAGCTGCATAGATAGATAGATGTGGATAGATAGATAAATGAGTAAATTTTAAAAAAGAAATCAGGTTGAATCTAGAGACTATCTTAGAGAAGGATGGAGCTGTTTTCTCAATAACATTAATGAACAAACCTCTCCATTGACTTAGGTCTTCTTCCCTTCTCTCTCTCCCTCTCTCTCTCCCTCTCTCTGTCTCTCTCTGTCTCTCCCTCCCCCCTCCCTCTCTCTCCCTCTCCCTCTGTCTCTCCCCCCCCCCTCGTTCTCTCTCTGTTCTTCACTACTGGGAATTACCCAGGGGCCCTTGCACTGAGCAACATCCCTGGCTCCCACTCCTTTTTTCAAGATGGGGTCTTGCAAAGTCCCTAAGCTGAACTTGCAACCCTCCTGCCTCAGCCTCCCACAGTGCTGAGATCACAGTCATGCACCATCACTGGGCCTGTTTAGTCTTCTTGAATGTCTCTCAGCAGCACTTTGCAGTCTTCAATGCAGAGGTCTCGCACAAGTTTCGTGGAATTTACTCCTGAGCATTTCACAGCTTTCTAAGAAGTGCTACTGTAAAGGAAATCTTTTAGATCTCACCTTCCATTGTTGGCAGCACAGCTGAGTAACAGAAGGGACCATCCACAGGCTGTCCCAGGCGTGAGGGCAGGGGTGGGCAGTGCCAACTGCAGACAGTCTAGGAGGTCTGGACTGGGAGAGGCATGAGTGGGTGCTCCCAGGGCCGCCTTCCCTGGGTGTCCTCCACACTGCTCTGGTCCCCGGAACCCTGGGGTGGAGGCTGCTGCTCTGGCAGCCTGGGATGGGCACAGCCTCTGTGCCAGGGATGCGTCCTGGCCTCTCCAGGGGGAGGTGGGGCCGGGAATGCTCAGCTCCTCCCGTGCCACAGCCCTGGGCCTCAGTGTCACCTCACCCAGTTACCGGCCAGCCAGCCCACCCTCAGTGGGGCTGAGTCTGCAGCTCAGCTCTAAGGACAGGGTCCTGGGAAGCTAGGCCAGTGCGGCCACCATCCCAGGTCCCCTCCCTTTTGCTGGAGCAGCATGGGTGGAGAGAGAGCAGAAGGCAGGAAGCTGCCTCCCGGCCAGGCAGGAGGGCGACTAGTGGTGCCCACGGGGCTTGCTCCCCTCTGCCTCTGGAGGAAGCGTGCTGACCGCGCCAGAGGCCCTCAGCATGCTGTGTGACTTGCCCCTGCTCACCTGGTGCCCACGTGGGTGCTGTCCACTCCCAGGGCCATCAGTGAACTGGGCTTCTCACCATCCTCTCCGGCTCCTGAGTAGCCAGAGGGCAGACGCCCCCGGAAGGCATGGCCAAGTCCCCAAACTTTGGCCCGGGAGGGACACAGGATGAGGACCTGCCTCGGGGCCAGGAGGCCTGGAAGGTGCCAGCCTGGAAACCGCTTCTGAGGACAGTGTGACGCCGGGCACGGGGCTTGGGTTGCTGCCTCCACCTCTGGCTCTGCTGGGCTCTCCCGCCACTGTGACCTCACACTGTACAATGAGAGGGCTCAGCGTCTCCCCAGCCACTCAGCCACCCCAGGTGTCTGTCCCAGAGCTGCCCCTAAGCCTGACCTCTGAGGGGCCTTGCAGGGAACCCAGCAGCCAGGTGGACTTTTCCAGCTCTGGATGAATGTGAACAGGGCCATGCCTGGGGCCGAGTCATCGCTTGCTCACCGACCTTCGGGATCCTCCACCTGAGGGCCAGAATGCTCTCCGGTGCTCGAGCCCTGTTAGGGTGAGACGCTCACATGCAGGGCTGGGTGACAGGGTGCTTCAGAGGGGCGCGGAGACTGGGCTAACCCTCCCAAGGAAGCTGCATGCCTGGTGCAACTGAAGAGGGGCCGTTTATCAAATTCTTGCCATGGGCCAGACGTCATGAAGCAGGCTCTGTAACCATGAATCGGTTTCTCTGCCCTGCAGCAAAGTAGGTAGAGCCCCTTCCTCACCCTCAGACTGCGGCATAGGACAGCACGATGCGGGACACCTCAGCCACACTCCCAGGTCACACAGAATGCACAGCGCAGCTCAGGCTCCATGCCGGTGTCCAGGCCCGAGCTCTGTGGCTTCCCCTGTCCTCTGTCTGCTCTTCCCCAGGACAGCGGCAGCCACCTGGACCTCCGTGGCCCTGACCACTGGGCTGTGATGGAGGTGACGCGTGTCACTCTAGGCCACAGCCTGTGAGTGCTGGTGTCTAGCCCTCTGTTCTCTCCTTTCTTCTGGTGGTGGCCACAGAGGCCGTGGCTTGAAATGGGGAGGCCCCGGGGCTTGGATGGCCGGGCCATCACACCAGGCACAGCGTGGTGCCTCACAGACTTCTGTTCACAAACTGCACAGCGCTTCCCAGGGAAGGTGGCACAGGACTGTCCACAACACAGCTGCAAGGCCAGGCCGAGCATAGCGAGGGTCGGCCCCAGCCCTGGCCTCCTGGTCCTGCTTTCCTCCACCTGCACTGAGCTTGCCCCGTGGCTGTCCCTGTCTCCACCCCAGTGGCCATGTCCAGATGGCAGCTGCGGGGCTCTGAATCTCCGGGCTTCATTCTGTCTTCATGCGTATGCCAGGAAAACAGGGCTCCTGCAGTATGGGTGGCCTCCCATTGTGCGTGGCAGACAGGAGCCCTGCCCAGCACCAGGCAGGCAGGGAGAGGGTGGAGCGCCGGGAGGGTGCCAGGGACCGTGAGCTTTCCTCATGAGGATCATTCTGCAAACGCTCATGGAGCTAGGCAAGAGGGCACGGCACCGCCTTCCGGAAGCTTCCGTCCTGTAGCCACGGGAAGCTCATGGAGCAGGGGGAGGTGAGCAGAGGTTTTTCACTTGCAGGCAGTGAAAGCCCAGGGTTGGAGTAAGACTTAGCCAGAAAAGACTGTTTGTCAGACTTCTGAGGGTCGTTCAGAGCCCAGGGTTATTCTCCATGTACGTGAATGAGGGTCCCAGGGTCGAGAGCCTCCCTTTACACTTTCTGATTGCAACATTCTAAATAAGTTTATTGAAGATGAGACCTTTCTTTTTTCTTTCTCCTTCCTCTGTCCCTTGCTCCTTGTCTTCCTCCCTCCCCTCTCCCCCTCCCTCCCCTCTCCCCCTCCCTCCTTCCCTCCCTCCTTCCTTCCTTCCTTCTTTCCTTCTTTCCTTCCTGTTGGTCTCCTAAATTAGTGGTGCCCTAAGCCCATGCTTTAGCTGGACTCCATAGTATCTACTTTGCTCGGCTGGGCAGATGGCCATGATGGAGACCAGGACAGTGAGCAGAGGCCGAGGGCAGCATTGTCCCTGCCCCAGGCCTGGCCTTGACAGCTCCTGCCTTGCCGGACCAGGGGACCCAGAGCAAGCTAGTCATCACATCATCTATGCTGGAGCCCCCAGATTTGGGAAGGGAGGCTCTGGGTCATTCCAGGAAGCCCCGGAAAGTCAGACTGGGCCAATATTTCCGAGGTAGATCCCACTAAGCCTCGCCTTTCCCATTCCTGATCAGGCTTATTGGGGACCAAGGGCTTCTGGGGAGGCAGCCTTTGAACAGGATGTCTGTGGAGCTCGGGTGGCTGCAACAGGCCTGGCACAGGGGTGGAGCTGAGAGGGGAGCGGGGGTGAAGGCTCAAGCCAGGGGTCAGCATGACAACGTGAGGATGCAGCCCAGCACACGTATTTCCTTACCTGTGTTCGGGGCACATACTGTTACACTGATCTGCGATGTCACTGTAAAATATACATAAAGCGAAAATTTCAAGACAGCAAGTGTAAACAAATTAAACAAATTAAGACCCATCCATAAATAGACCACTACGGAGCTATAAAAAGAACAAGCTTTTATAACTCAATAATAAGGAAACAACTAGGTTTACAAAAGGACCAAAGATTTGAACAGATGTTTTATTAAAGGACATATGTGAATGGCCAAACATCATTTATTATCAGGGAACTGCAAACTAAAACCACAGCAAAACACCGCTGTGAGCCACTTGGGTGTGTAATTCCATTTACATGAAACTTCACAAAAAGGCAAAGCTCAGTGGTTGGCAGGGGCCGAGCCAGGAGTGAGGCTCTCTGCAGAGCCCGAGGAACTTTGTGAGACAGTGGAATTATTCTAAACCTGGATTGGGGTGATCATCGCAAAACTCTATAAATTTGCTCAAATCCATTGAACAGGACACTCACAGTGGATGAGTTAGAAAATGAAGCTGTTTTTGTTGTTGTTGTTTTGTTTTGTTTTTTGGGGCAGGGTCTTGCTATGTAGTTCAGGCTGGCCTCAAACTCACAGTGATCCTCCTGCCTCAGCCTCTCAAGTGCTAGGATTACAGGTGTTCGCCACTACACCTGGCATTAAAGCTGCTTTTGAAAACACAGAATGAGGAAGCTTGCTAGGCATAGTTGGAAAGGTCTCCATGACACCTGTGAGGTGGAAATTCAGAGCGAGGTGTGCGTCTGTTTGCATTATAAAGAGGTGTGTGTGTGGCCAACTAAGAATTATATTTTGTGGTGTGATTTTCTGGATCATGGACAGGTTTTTCCAGAAGGAGACACAAAACTGTGATGCTGGGTATGTGTTCAGGGCAAAGGAATCCAATGGCCCGCAGGAGAGGAGTGGAGTCATTTTTTATCTTTACATGTTTTCTTTTTTATCTGGTAAATTTTGCCACCTGAGCCTTCTGTTGTTCAGCCAGAGTCTCAGTATATTGCCTGGGCTGGCCTGGATCCCCTCTGCCTCAGCCCCCCCTTGTAGCTGGGACTAGAGACGCATACCCCTTGGGCCAGTCCCCTCTGGCCACCTTAGTGGAGTGCAGGTGTCTGTGCTCCCCAGGCTGGTGTCCATCTCCACCACTCTGCTCCTCTGGCAAGACTGGAACTCTGCCCGTCCCTCCTGCCCTGGCGGCTGCCTTCTGTGAGCCCCGTCTGTGCTCAAGGCCACCCGACCCTTTGTGTGACTGGCCCGCCCGTGCTACCGCAGGTGTCTTTTCAGGTAACTAGCATTGCCCTGCTCCTCAGCACGTCGCCTGTTCACCCCTTCACCCCTCCATGGTGCCTGGGGCTCTACCTTTGGCCTCTGAATAACCCTGCTGTGAGCTCGTGGTGACAATAGCCCTTCAGGATCCCAGTTAGTCCCAGATGTGGAGCCACACACCGGTCATCCCAGCACTTAGGAGGCTGAGGCAGAAGGATTGCTGTGAGTTCAAGGCCAGCCTGGGGTACATAGTGAGTTCAAGGCCATCCTGAACTACATAGTGAGACCCTGTCTCAAAAAAAAAAAAGAATCTGAGATATCTTTACATTTTCAAGTATGAATGTCCTTTTAAAAAAGAAATTAGCGGGGCCGGGGATTTAGCTCAGTGGTTCCAGCACCTGCCTCTCAAGCACAAGGTCCCAAGATCGATCCCCAGTACCAAAAAAAAAAAGAAAGAAAGAAAGAAAGAAAGAAAATTAGCTTGGTATGGTGGCCTAGGCCTGTAGTCCCAGCTACATGGGGGAATGAGACAAGGCAATGGCAGGTTACAGGCCAGCCTGGGCAACTGAGACCCTGCCTCGAAAGTCGTATCACCTAAATGAATAAATAGGGAGAGGATGGTGCCGTTTCTTCCCCTCTCCATGAGCCTCACTGGGTATGGGGTGGGGGTCCTTCTCAGCCATCCACCCTGCACTTGTGCCTTCCTCCTGGGACCCCTTACCTTCCCTTGGCCCGTGATCCCCACGATCTCCGGGAAGCCTGGAGACCAAAGCACCCTTTCTGGGGGGAACCCACAGGCCTCCTGGCAGCAGGCCCATGGGCTCCTCTCTCCACTCCCAAAATCCGCAAATGCCTGAAACCTGAACTTCCAGGATGGCAAATCCTGATGCAAACGAGCGTGGACCAATCCTGGTCTTAACCCCACAGCAGCCCACGTTTGCTGCAGAGGTGTCCATCTGCCAGGGTATAGGCTGCAGCCCAGGGGCCAGATCCCTTCCTGAAATCCTAGAGCACTGATGGGAACCTTTAAAGCTTTCTTGTCCTCCACTGCCCTAGACGCTCTGAGTTCGAGGTTGTGCTGTCCCTGGGCTTTAGTGACAGACAGGGTCTGGTGCCCGGCAGACCACAAGAGCCAAGGTCGGAGAGGTCCAGGCCCCACTAGGAATGGCCACGTCCACCTTCCCTGCCCCAGCCTCCCTGCTTCCCCTCCAGGAAGCCATCCTCATTCACCTCAGTGAGCGCTGTTGTCCTTGGCTCCCAGAGCCCAGCCTGGCACCCCCTGTGGGCACTGGTGTTTGGCAGCGGGCTCGGGTTAGAGCCGGCCTCGCCTGCCAGGACCCGGCCTGGCCTGTGGCTCTTCAGCCCTGCACCCTGAGCAGTGCTCTCGCTTCTGCATCTGTAAGTGCCACAGTGGGCATCACAGTACCTGGAGCATCGGTGTGGGTCGGACTGACATGGACGCACTTACACAAGGACATGTGTAGGCACGGGCACACTTACACTGGAATCATTCATTGCTTATCTGAAATTCAGATTTAACTGGGCATCCTGTGTTTCTAAGTGCTGAGCCTGCAGCTTCAGCCTGGCATGGAGAGAATCCCAGCATACGTTCGCTGGTTTGTTAGTAATAAATGTGACAGGGCCGGGATGTAGCTCAGTGGTGTGTGCTTCCCCAGCAAGTGCAAGGCCCTGAGTTCCATCTCTGGTTCCAGAAAAAAGCAAAGTGACAGCTGGGGTGTAGCTCCGTGGTAGAACACGTGCTCAGCATGTGTGAGACCCCAGGTTCAGCCCCAGCATCAAATAATAATCATAAATATGAATGACATGGAGGGCTTTTTGTCATGGTATTTTTGTCTAATCTTCCCCACTAGACTAAAGGTACAGTGGTACCTCAGTTCACGAACTTAATTTTTTCCACAATTCTGGTCGAACTGATTTGGACAAGAGCTAAATCAAATTCAATGGTTAGGTTCATGGGAGGCTGAGGCAGGAGGATTGAAAGTTTGAGCCTAGCCTGGGCAACTTAGTACTTTAGTGAGGCCCTGTTCCACCTGTCCCCCTAAAAATATAGAAAAAGGGCTAGACACGGAATCAGCCCGCTGCAGACAGGCAGGTCTGCGCACATCCTACCGAGGTCCTGAGTTGCGCGGAACACGCCGAATCAGCCCGCGCCCGACAACAATCTACTGGACCCCTCCCCGCTCTTCTGTACAGCCACCTGGTTCCACACTACAAAGACGCAGAGGACAACGGACCACCAGGCCACGGTACTGAGTCCCGCTGCTCCCGGCACAGAGGTAGGGGCTTCTGAGCCGCCATCCCACTGCTCTTGGTCCAGAGGAAGGGGCTTCAGGGCCACCATCCCGCGTACTGCTCCCAGCCCAGAGGAAAGGGCATTTGGGCCACCTTCTGTCCCTCCCCTCCTGGCCCAGAGGAAGGGGCTTCCCGGCCACCATCCCTCCCGCTGCTCCCAGCCCACAGGAAGGGGCTTCTGAGCTTCTGTCCTTCTGCTCCTGGCCCAGAGGAAGGGGCTTCCCGGCCACCATCCCTCCCGCTGCTCCCAGCCCACAGGAAAGGGCTTTTGGGCCACCATTCCTACCACTGCTCCCGGCCCCCGTCCCACCTCTCCCAGCTCAGAGGAGGTAATCCATGCAGGCGCCAACAGCCGCCCCCCCCCCCCCGGTTGAAATGAGAAAACACCTAAATAAGTCTCAAAACCAGACTCCCAGATCACCTACAGCAACCCCAAAGGGAAATGAGATGGAGCACTCTGATACTCAACCACCTGGACCCACTGAACTGGCAACAAAAGGGGATCTGGAAAAAATGAAATCAGAAATAATTTCTCAGATAACAGGAGAAATTGTGCCCCTAGTGCAAGACATGAAAAAGGGCTAGACACAGTTTGGTGTGAAGGCAAAACATGCAAAAAGCACTCACAGGATTGGGAGAAGCTCCATGCCACCCCTGCCTGGTCTGGGGCGCCCGGCCATGGGCACCGACAGGGAAGGGCCTGGCTGGGAGAGGAGCCCAGGGGTCCTCAGCTGAGGCGTGGCTGCCCAAGACCCTCTCCTGTGGACACAGTCAGTGGGGAGATGCGGCTCAGCGGCCTCGGGCTCAGCTCAGAAGCAGTTGGGGAGCCACTGGCTGTGGTGTCAGGCGAGGGGAGTCTCGAGGAGCCTGACCTGACCTTTGACAGATGAGGAAACTGAGTGTTCAAGGGGGAAGCAGCTTCTGAAGGTCACACAAGTCTTTCCTGGCCATGCTGCTGCCAAAACCCGGGCTGCCTCCCCTTGGGTCCCTGAAAAGGGCGGTGAGGTCAGGCGCGCTGCGCGTGTGCCGGGAATCCCCAGGGGCCAGTTTCGGGGTGTGTACCTTCTGCCGCTCAGAGCAGGGAGCCACTGAAAGCCACCCTCAGGTGACAAATGAGAACCCTGGCCCTGAGAAGTTTCACTTCCCAAGGGCTGCGGTGGCTACAGTCCCGGAGGGGCCTGGGCCTCAGGCTCCCAGTCAGCACCAAGGAGAGCCCGTGCAGGCTCTGGGCGGAGGCCCCTCTCAGATCCAGCTGGAGGGTGGGTCTCACTGACCATGCACAGCGCCTGGCTCCACAGCCCTGCTGCGGCAGCACTCGGGGCCTCTGCACGCCGGGCTGGGGTCCACAGCGAACAGGGTGGTCGCTCACCTCCTGGCTGACTCCTTCCCTGGTCTGCTCTCTGTGCCCACATCCAGCCCACGGGGGACACCTGCCCTTGTCTCTCCTCACAGCCTGGGACCCCAGGGGCCAGGGCACAGACTGTCATTACTCATCCTAAGCTGGCCTTCCTTATTTGTGTAGTGCTGGGGATTGGACCCAGGGCCTTGCCCATGTTATGCAGATGGTGAGCTATATCCCTGAGTCTGTTTGTCCATCTATGTATCTGCCTATCTTGAGACAAGGTCTTGTTACGCTGCACAGGATGGCCTTGAACTTGTGATACTCCTGCCTCAGCCTCCCAAGTAGCTGGGACTTCAGGCGTGTAGCAACATTTCTGGCTTTAAATTCAAGGCCACCACTCTTAGCTGCTTGTGGTTGTTCTATAACATACCCGCAAGTTCTTCGGTACTCTTTCCATCGAGAGGTGATGTCTACATTGTCCTCTCTCCTTGAAGCTGAGCCAAGCCTATGGGAGAGAATGACAATAGTACGGCAGGAGCAATGTCGTATGGCTCCACCTCTACACTAAGGGACAGGCTGGGCCCTTCAGCTCCCTGGCGACACTCACCTTGTGCACAGTATGAGCCTGCCATGCTGGAAGAAGCTCTGACCATGTGTGGACAGACAGAGGATGGTGCGGGGATAGACAAGCCAGAGGTGTCTGCAGCCCCACGAGGCGCTCCGGGTCAGCACCCACCAAGGGCTGGAGCTGGGCCTGGGCCAAGTCTGGCTCCTGAGCCAGGACACACATTTGGTCATGGCCTCTGGAGATGGGCGGGCACAGGGGCTCCAGGGAGCAGCCCCAGCTCCAGACCAGAACCTTACCCTAGGAATGCTGGGCTGTGGAACCACAGCCGGCTCTCCAATCCAGTCTACCTCTCCGTTGCTGTGTCCTGAGCACCTTCTGCGGTCCCCAGAGCACTGTGACAAATGTCATTGCATAACTGGCTGGATGGGGGATGTGGGAGGAGTGGATGAAGGGAAGGAGGGAGGAAGAGAGAGGAAGAGGGGTGGAGCAGGGAGGGAGGAGAAGAGGGATGCAGAGAAGACGGGGGTGTGCGCACCACTGTGGGGCAGATCGGGCACAGTGTGAGCCAGCTTCCTCCTCTGCAGGGAGGGTGTGTTGAGATGGGTTTGAGGGGTGGATGCTACCTCCAGAGGTCAAGGGTAGGCAGCTGGGACCACAGGGTCAGTGTCCCCCTGCCAGGAAGGCAAGTTTAGGCTTCTGGACGCCCTGCCTGGCCCCTGGAGACGCCCGACTTGGGAGTGAGCCCTGTGAGCTCAGGCTGAGGCTCCTCCGCAGGGCAGCCATGTCCACTGCGGGTCCTCACTTCCAGCCCGGCTCACTGGCCACTTGTCTGTCTTTGTGATCCCAGGACCTCGGGACTAGGCTTCAGCCCTGCGTCCCGGGTGGCACCCTCTCCTGCCTGGCACTGGAGAATGGGTAAGGAGGGACTGAGCTGGCCAGCGCTTGCTAAGTTCCGACTTCCCACCCATCAGCCTCCCCCGTGTTCTCAGGACAAGTCCCAGTGTCTCTGCAGCCACGGTGGCAGAGCCTATGGCGAGCCTCTCTCTGTCCTCCGAGGATGGGGTCCCAGCCGAGCCCCAGGAGGAAGCAGGTGGCAGTGTCACATGGCTGAGGAGGCACCTGGGAGCCACAGCAGCATGGCACAGAGCCCACGGGGCCTGGCACGAACCTGGCACCCAGGTTGGACCCCACCTAGGGTGCAGAGCAGGTGCTGGACGGTGAGTGGACATGGTTCTTGGTGCCCGCTGCAGCTTCCAAGCTTCCCACCATCTTCTCCAACCCTAGCCCTAGGTGGTCGGCACAGGTGCTGCTGCCTCCCGGGCACCTGCCCTTCTGGCTGCTGTCTGGTGTCCCCTCCAGCCTCATTCAGAATGAGCCAGCATTTGCACGGTGCCCGGCTGTGTCCTGCCAGCCTTCCCTCCACCAGGACACCCTGGAACCTTGTCCTCATTGCTGACTGTGTGCCCCTGGACTCCCGCCCTGAGCTCACAGCGTGTCCTTCAGCCACCGTCTCTGAAAATCCACGGTCTGATAACTCGATGACTCTCACAGCAATCCCAGCCCTTGTTTCACGGTGGCAGAGCCAGCTGTCGCTCTCCCCACCAGTGCTAGGACAGCAGGACAGAGCTGAGACCACTGCAGCCAGGAAGCAACGTGCCAGTAGCTGGGTCCACGGGTCTCAGCTTCCGCACAGACTCAGGCCTGGTGCTCATCGTTCCACCCTGCCTCTCACTTGGCCAGAGCACGAAATTCGTAAAGTGTCCCAGAGAACACGTGGCTCTGTCGGGGGCCACATCCTGCGGTGAAGTGAATCCAATGTCTCAGGCCCTTCCCAGGCTGGCTTCCTCTTCTACCTGTCTCTCTGACTCCTGCCAGCCCCATCGAGCATTCTTGAGACACAAGTCACCTTCCTCTGTCCTAGCCCAGCTGCTGGGTGCTCCCTGCACCTCCCTCTGCGTGTCCCCTGCCGCCCAGGGCTGGTGCTGCTCCTGTGTCCCCTTCTGAGACAGCACTTGCTGAGCACTGACCGCCCCGCTGCCCACGCCACCCACAGAACTGACCCTGCTCTCAGACTGCCTTGGTTTGAGTGTGTCCTCTGCACTTGCTGCGGCTTGTTTCTGGCACCTGGCAGCTGGTGCACATCCAGCATTTGTTGAATAAGTGAGAAATGGCAAAGGAGGGCAGGCATTCCTCCCCCGGCCCTGTGCTACTCCAGCTGTGGGATTTCCCAAGTCTGCTGAGCACCACCCCTGCCGCCACTGTCCTGGGCACTGGAAAATGGCTGGGCATAGGGCAAAGGTCTGGGGGACAGAGAGGCAACCTGGTCAGAATGAGAAGCCACCCACCCAGTGCCCCGAGCCTCCTCTGCTCCCTGGGCCTTGCATGGAAGGGGTGTCCTGCCCTCTCCACCTTGCTCTGTTAGCCCAGGATGGTCCCCGCCTAGGGGCTGCATTCCGCAGGGGGAGAGCTGAGCCTCAGGGACCTCGGGCAAAAGCAGGCTGCTGTGAGTGCCTGCCATGTGGGGAGGCCTTGGGGTGCGGTGACTTCATTTTCATACCGTAATTCGGAGGGCAGCCTCCACACGACTTCTGCGGCACTTTTCTTGCTAAGAAGCTGACTTGACTGCGAATCACAGGGGCCTAGGCCACTCGCGGTCACTCAGCACAGGGCTCCCTGTCCCTCCCTTCCAAGGTGCCCGGCTTAGGGAACCCACCAGCGACGAAGCTGGAGGCCCTCCCGTGGGTGACCTATCCATACAGGGCAGAGAAGGAACTGAGTGGCTTGGGGACGTCCCTAACCTTTGAGCTGACGTCATAGCGATCACCACCACTCACAGTCCATCTCGTGGTGCCAGTTCTCCGTAGCAATGGTGAGGGCCGAAGGTCTGCATTGTGAAGAAGGAACCAGGTCCTGACTGGGACTCAGCGAGGTGATAGTCATTTGAAGAACGCCCATTTTTCCATCAAGGAGGAGGTGTCCAAGCCTGGTCCTACGAGCCAAGTCCAGGGCCTGCCAGCACAGAAAGAGTGGACTGCACACACAGCAGCACAGACCATGGCGGCTGGGGTATCCGTGTCCGCAGGCAGGGGTGGGGGTGAGAGGCCACACGGGGGAAAGGCCCTGTCACCCCAGGTGGAAGGACAATCAGACACCAGGGCATGGCAGGGCTCAGCCAGGCCGAGCAGGAACAGGGGTGGCCCTGTGTCTGAGCTGCTGCTCTGCCAGCCTGGTTTGCAGGTGAGGAGGCTGAGCCCAGGGTGTCGGGCGACCTGCCTAGAGCCCAGCGGCCAGGCAAGCTCACATCCCAACTCACGTTCCCAGGATCTCACTCTGTGCCCCTGGTGCCAGCTGGCAGCTGTGTGGCTTGAGGCTGAACTGCCCAGTGAGGCTCTGGTCCCCGTGCCACCGTGGGCTCTGCCTGCAGGACCGTTACAGCCTGAGCGAGGGGTTTCTGATGTTTGTCTTAAACAGTCCGTTGTTTAGAAGCCTGACTGTAGGTCACTGTTTTTCTTCTTTTTGGCACTGGGAACTGAATCTTAGGCCTTGTGGTGCTGAGCACTCACTGGACCATGGAGCTCCTCCCCAGCCCTAGGCAATTTTCCTTGATGTGTCAGGTGTGTGCGAAGAAGTACACGGTTGGGGAAAATGATTTTCACGTGGGAAGGCAGACTGGCTGGGGCGCAGCGCCTCCTCCAGGCCACAGGAGACCTGGGTCTGAGGCTTAAGAATGCTTTAGTTTTACCTCCCTCTGATCTTGGCATGGATGGAAGCAGAATTGTTCTTCCAGTTTGGCTTCTTTGATGCAATAGGGATTTTCTTTAATCCATCAGTTCTCTTTCATACCCACTCCATCCTAGGAACACACAGCAGTTTCTGACTGTGGTCTGTTTGGGGCTGTTTTGCGTAGCTGTTGTGCACACTTGTATGCGAGACTTCTGGTCAGTGCTTTTACTCCCTCCTGTTGGAATCACCCCCAGGAACTGAATTCCTGGCTGAGTGTGGCTGAGTTCTGGTTGAGGCCACTGTTTCCTAAGTTGTCAGTTTGTCCTACCTGCCTGGGACACTCCACACCCTGGTCAGCATTGGAGGCTGTGAGCTTCGAGTCAGCCCTGGTGGGAGTCAGTAATGTGGCACTGCGACTTTACTTTGCATTTCTCAGATGACTGATGAACTTGGCACTTAAGGATCTCGTGTATCCTCTTTGTGAAGACCGAGTCTTTCTATTTCAATTTCTATTGATTTCTCTCATTGATAATTAAGATCGCTTTATGTATCCTGGACACTAGATTGGCCCTTTGATGGGTATCTTCTGTGGATAAATTTTAATTTATGGGACTTTAGCACTATAGCTAGAAACTCCACAGCCCGTGTTGCAGATAGTAGATACTGTAACTGTAAACTAAACAGAATGAAAACAAGACCTCGCTGCCTCTGCATTCGAGCTAGCGTGCTAGCTGCCAGCTGGCTGCAGCCTGATTCCTGCTGAAAGAAGGGGTTAGCCAAAGAGGGGAGACAAGCATCGCTGGAAACCTTCTCCTTGGTGCAATCTGAAGGCTCGACAGAGCTGGGAAAGAAACAGCTCCTCGTGTCCTGCTCCTGTTCACTGTCACTTAGAGGACTCGGCTCTCACATAGGAGACCCTCGGCCTCCTGCAAGTATGCCAAGTGCCACCCATCGTGAGTCCGACACTTTGGAAACACAACTGTGGGGTGTGGACACAAGGAGCATTTTAAGGAGGGGTCAGCACAGTGGGACTGACCACTAAGAACAGATGCCCAGTGGCAGTGTGGGCAGAGGAGCGGGTGTAGAGACAGGCAGGGAGCCCGAGGAGGTGGCACGGCTGGAGTGGGGCAGCTGGGCACTGGGCAGGTGGCACCGAGCATGCAGGCACCGGGGCAGGACATAAGAGTGAGTAGTTTACCTGTGAGGAGCAGGCCCTCTGGGCTGACCTGGGTTTCTAAGTTGGGAGGCAGAGGAGAATGGCGGCGGAGAGCAGACCACCTGGTACGTGTTGAACTAGAAGCGCTCACAGGACCTCAGAGGCAGAGTCATTAGCTCGTTCACTCATTCCACAAATATCAACGGAGAAGTGCAGGGCGGGGGTCAGCGGCCCCAGGCAGGGAAGCCCTGGAGCTCCGTGGGAAGGGCGGAGGCGGCAAGGGCAGGCGCAGGGCTCTGGGCCACTGGCGAGTTTGTGCTGGGCAGTGTGGGCCAGCAGCTAAAGCTACTCGGGGGTGAGGCTGCCTGGGAGGGAGTGCGCACCGTGCCAGCATCCAGGGCAGGACAGCCTCCAGGAAGGCCACCAGGGAGTGATGGGAGGAAGTGATGCGGGCCACAGGAAGGCAGGTTCGCAGACGCAACGCTGACCCGTTCATCCACTCATTCCATCACACACAGCCCCTTTCCTTGCTGAGCCCTGGGCAATCAGAGCCGGGTGAGAAGTCTGGGGGAGGCGGTATGTGGGTCTCATGGCATTGAGGCTGCAGAAAAGTGGTTCTGCTGAGAGGTGGGGTGCTGAGGACTTCACCTCTGCTGACCCTGCTGGGGAGGCTTTGTGCAGAGAAGATGTGGAGGGAGAGGCTGGAATGGTGCAAAGCTGAGCCTGCAGCAAAAGTCCTGGGGTAGTGGGTGACGGGGCCTCCGGCTGCCTGACTGTGGGCCCCCTCCCAGCCAGGCCTTCCCTGTCCCCTCCTGGCCACACGTCACCAGCCTCAGTCACTAATTTGGATCTCAGGGTTGGGCTGATACCTGTGAGCTGGGGTCCAGAGTGGGGCAAGACCTCAGGGTGCCGCTGGAATCGCCCTTGGGCAAGGCCTCTGCTGCCCCCTGCTGGCAGCTTCATAGCTCTGCAGCAGACCCACCCCACAGCCAGGCCCTCCAGGACCTGGCTCCTGATGGCTGATCACCCTGCCTCATACTTCCTGGCAGCTGGGAGGGACTCCAAAGCCCATACGGGCCATCTGATGTCACAGGTCCTAAACTACTGGCAAGAAGGGGATCATGCTGAGGGCAAGAGGCTAGTCTGGCAAGGCTGCCCGCTGCATCAGTCCACCTACAGGACGCTCTCCAAATGAAAGATCAGACACATGGAGAGAGATCAGGTGTTCGAGGCAAGAGAGAGGCAAGGACACAAGGGCAGCGGAGCGAACCCCCCCCCCGCCCCCACAGTGCCGCACACTTGCTAGGTGCTGCCGTTCGCCATCAAGTACGCTGTGAACCACGGGCCCCGCTGGGGCCGAGGTCACAGGGACTTTGGAGCATGTCTCACTCTCCGTGCTCTTCTGTGCTCTGCTCGCCGCTGTCGTGAGTGAAGCGGTTTTGCTCCCCAACAGCCTCCTGCCACGACTCCCCACCTTGGAGCCAGCCTGCCATGGACCAAAGCCTCGGAAACCATGGGCCACACTGAACCTCTCCTCCTTTGGGTTGTGCTGCACGCATTACATCCCACGAGGAAAACCTGACCGGTCCACATGCTTTGGCAGAGGCATCTGGGGTCCTGGGCAGTCACCCCCCACCAAGCCCTCGGCTCACCTGTGCCTCTTCCTGCAACGTGGACAACCACATCATCAGTAGCTGAACCTACCTGCTTCTGCCCTTTGGTCTGGAAGCAGGGTCCCTGCTATGGTCTCCTACCTCAGGGACTGCCAGGCTGCCCTGTCTGCGGCTCTCCCTGTAGGGCAAGCCATCCAGGTAGCCTCCCGGAGGCTGGATGGTTTCCCATTGACCAGGCTTCTAAATGGGGCCCAGCGCACTCTGCCTCAATGGGCCAGACCTCCTCCTTCAGGTGTCACCAGTGGGTTGCAGCGCCCCTGTCTGCACAGAGCCTGTTCTGTGCTCCACTGTGGGCAGAGGGAGGGGCAGGCTGAAGGCCTTCGCTTCTCACCCCACCACATTCTTAGGGACCTCAGAAGAGTCACAGATGCTTAAATTAGACCCTGGCCTTCCCAACTGTCATCAAAGCACCCTTGCTAAAGTAGGAGAATAGAGCATATTTTATTTCACAGTTCTTGGCTTGATTTGCATCTTTTAAATATTTAGATGCATGGTAGGAGGTCTCCATCTCTTGCCTGGACCCCAGCTCCATGGGGCAGACAGCATGTGCCTGGCACACAAGAACACAATAAATACCGACTGCAAGGGACACAAAGGTAACTGGGGCAGGATGCGTGGCCTGGTGTGGATGCTCAATGCAATGAGCTACTATTGTTCACTGAGCCATGAAGGGGGAGGCGGGGCCTGAGATCCACAGCCTCCGCGGTTTGTGCATGAGGATAGGCAGGTGCACCCCTCCTTTCCGGAGGCTGTCCCCCCCAGGCCCCTCCCAGCGCTGTGGCAAGGTAGGCCCCAGTGGCCAGCTTGGCAGAGGGGCGTGAGGGCCCTGCCACGTGCTCCTCCCCCAGAACAGCGGGCAGGCTGCTCTCTGGCCCACGCTGGAAAGGGGGGCAGAGGCCAGGTCCCCTCCCTGGAGCCCGCACCCTGGTGAGGGAGGCCTTGAGAGCTGGTTTCCTTCCTGCATCAGGGCTCTGTATTGACAGAGCTCCTCTATAGCAGGCCCAGGGCTCGCAGCTCATGGGCGTGAAAAAACCTTGCCCAGGACACAGTGGACTGACTGGATCCCGATGTGGATCCACAGACAGGAAGGCAGATGAAGCCAGTTCTTCATCCTGGGCCAGGGAGGCTTAGACTGGAGGTCACATGGTCCTGTCAGGCTCTTCCTGGTTACCTGCACAGGGCTCTGGCCAGGCGCCTCCCTGAAGGAGCCAGGAAACACCCTCACCGAATCCCCCTCCAGACAAAAGCTCCCCCTACCCTGGCACCCACCGAGGACGCCCCAGAGAAAGCCCCACTTCAGGTCGCCGTACCCGCGGCAACAAGGGTGGGTGGCAGCCATCAGGGTGGCGGGAAGATGTCTGCGCACTGCTGCAGGATGAGCTCCACCACCTGGTTCTGGAACACCATGGTCATGGGCATGCTGCCCTCCTCTGTCTCGGGCCGCAGCAGAGTGGGCCCGAACACGATGGCCACACTCTGCACTGACATGCGGTTCTGCTCCCCCTGTTCCACCACCCTGCAGGGGAGGACAATCAGGCCGGGGATGGGGGTTTGTGGGGACCCCTCCTCGGCGCAGGGTGACCCTGCTCACCGGCGCAGGTGCTGGAACAGCAGCTGCAGAGTGTCATGGTTCGGAGTGGGCAGCGAGCGCACCAGGTCCCGCACGCAGCGGCCGCGCCGGGCTGGGTCCTGCAGCTCTGCAGGGAGACGGGGGTTGGCGCAGGGCAACGGGGTCCCCAACCCCTCCATCTGGGCCTCTGGGGCTCCGACTCACTGATGGCTGCGAGGAACTGGCTGAAGTGCGAGAAGGGGAAGAGCGGCTCAGGCAGCTCGCGCAGGAAGAGCTTGAGCGCGCCGGTGAGCACGTGGACGTCAGTCCAGCGGCCGTCATCCAGGTCCAGGCGCTCATCTGCGGGAGCGGAGGGGTCAGCGGGGACACTGGGGTGGGAGTCAGAGGCCGGCGGGGGGCGGCCTCACCGTGGTCCACGTGGTAGCGGAGCTTCTGGATGGTGGCCAGGTTCCCGCTGATGCGGTACAGCCCGTCCGTGTCCAGCCCTGCGGAGACGGAGGCGTTGCCTCGCCCGCCCAAGCCCCGGACCCAGCGCCCCCTACCGCCCGCTGCCGGTGCCGAGGGAGCCGCGCCTACCCCGGGCCTCGACGGCGTGCACGCACTGCTGCACGAAGCGTGGCACGGAGCTCTTCTCACGCGCGCACAATGTGGCCAGCGCACAGCCGAAGACCTGGTCTGGGGACAGGGCGTCAGCGCCGGGCGCGCCCCTCCCCTGCCCTCCCCTCCCCTCCCCTCCCCTGCCCTCCCCTGCCCTCCCTCTCGTCCCTCTCCCAGCCCCCTTTGCCTGAGGCCCCTCCAGCAGGAGAAGGTGCCCTTCGCCTCTGC